ATTTGAATTTTTTAAAGATAAATATCTATTAATTACCTTAATAATTAAGATAATTTTTAGTCAATCAATATTCAATAGTATTAAATGTATTACTTCGAATTTTTATAAATAAGATATAATATTATTAAATCGAAATAATTAAAAATAATGTGTCCATATTACAAAAGATTTTATAATAGTAATTTTTTTCGCCTAATAGAATTTGTCAATTATTAAACATTGTTTATGGTAATTATTGTATGACATTTAATACTAAGATTATTAGGTATAATTTTTATAATTAAGGTATAATATTATTAAATCAAAATTATTAAAAATAATGTGTCCATAATATAAAATAAATTATACTTGTCTTAATAATTATTTATTAATATAAATTTATAATTATAAATTTGTATACGAAAAAACATAGCAACTGAACTTCTGGTTTAAAAAAAACATCTCTCCATTTTATTTATTTATTTTTTTGTCACCAATGGATTGTATTTATAGGTAGAGAATGTGAGAATTATAAATTAATAATATAAGTTTCATTTTCCATTTCCTTTTCTATTCAGTCAATTAGGGATTTTTATAATTTTCAGTCCATTAATAATATACGTTTCCTTTTTCAATTTGCATAATTTCACTTTCGTTTTCCAAATCCGTGTTTCATATTTTATTCTCATACATAATATTCACGTTACTATAAATTGATTAGCAATTAATACATTTACAATACCATAATTATGCAATATTATCAATTAATATATTTTAATTAATTTACATTAAACATATGCTTACCAAATAAAATTTATTAATTATTTGACTAAAAAATATAAAATATTTAATTAATTTAGTACACAAGTTTGGACGTGAAAATGATGTAAGAGGATTTTACTTTTATATAGATTATGGTATTACGTTCATATGAAATAATATTACCATACATACTTGTTAATATTTTGATTTATTAAATTGGTTACAATTCATATTATGGTATGAATAATTCTTATGCAATATACAATTTGGCAACTCAATTAATATTAAGATTTCGCGCAATGAACATATTTCATCTTGTGTACTCATTTGACCGGAAATATGAAGGTTGGTTCAATAAATCGTAAATATTACCAATTGTTTGGTTAGAAAATAATCTTTATCAAATAAAAAAGTAATTAAATTGATAAATTATACTTAAAAGGTAAATATTACTGGTTATTTTCTTATATATAAATCTTTATTGAATTATTTTATTATAAGGAGCGAAAAATTTTATACATAAATTATTTTATAATTTATTTTGATCGTGAGGCCACACACGCGCACACACACACACATATATATACACACCGTAAATATTACAAAATACTTGGTTACAGAATAAGCTTTATTAAGTTATATATAAATTAAAAATGATTAAATTGTTAAATTATACAAATTGGAAAACTCTTAACAAAAAATTAGCAAAAATGTAACCACGTCCGTAAATTTGATTCTATTTCGTAAATGATTCATAAAAGTCTGTGTGATTCTATTTCGAAAATTTCAAAGAATAGTGCATAGTAGTAGTAAATTAATGTAAATATTACCCAAAATTCTCAAAACCATAAGCATATTCGATCTAATTGAGAAGTGAGAAATGCCTATTACATAACAATAACAAAATATAAAATTATAAGTGAAGTTAAATGTTGGAATAACTATACAATCTTTAGAGCTATTAACATATCCATCATTATTTGAATCACATTCTTTCGAAAAATATGCATATGTAGAAAAGTACCATGAATTTGTAGTGTAAAAAGAAAATGTTGTAAAACAACCATATGCATAAACTAAAAGTTTTGAAATACAAACTATTAAAATTAAGATCATAGTACCAAAAAAAAAAAAAAAAAAAAAAAAAAAAAAAAAAACTCTTTATCATGGACTACACACTCTATAGAATTTATTGTTTCAGAACCTCTTGCCTCTGGAAGATTAACAACACGGAGCACTCCAACATTGATTCTATTCCAAATGAGTGTAGGATGAAGTTGACTACCAACAATTTCGTTGTGACTTCCTGCTACAACAATTAGACAATTATATTATTATTAAAATAAATATAGAAAAAAATAAAAGAGAAATAATTTAAAAAAATAAATGTAGTGTCAACTATTATATAATAATAATGCATATTACATGTAAATTTATAAATTCGTTGTAATTGTCAATGCCTAACATCATTCTAGTTTATCCAGTTATTGTGCGTACCTTCTACAATGTGGGCACACCTCTCCTTAATGCATGTAAATAGTTGCTCAGAACCATTTCAATTGTCTCTATATTTGTATCCTGCAATATTTGCAAAAGATGTAGAAAAGAAATAAGAACAGAAATTAAGAATTATGCCATTGAAAAATGAAAGACACAATACAGAACTCACCCCAGTACAAAAAGGAAGAGTTATAATTTTTCTAGTCACTAATCCATTGTATTTATAGGTAGAGATAGAGAATGTGAGAATTAATTTCTTTTTATATTTTCAATCAATTTGCCTAATTTCTGTTTCCTTTTTTTCATTAGAATCCTTTTATATTTTCAATCAATTAATAATATCAATTTCCTTTTTTCAATTTATATTGACTGGATTTCACAATGGTATATTGGTATTGCATAATATTACCAATTAATAGCTTTTATAACATTTCCATTTTACATTTGCTTACCAAATAAGTTTTATTAATTTGACCAATAAAACATTTCATTAATTTGACTATAAAAGTTTGAGCGGGAAAATTACATAGGAGGATTTTACTTATATATATATATATATAGATATAGATTTTCATTTCACCCTACTACCAAACATGTTAAATACTTTCACCAAAACCCATTACCATTACCAAGTATTTGATACTCATTCCGATTCCGATTCCTATGTACGAACCAAACACACCCCATGTTTCTTTTCAAAATGAATTGAATCCATAATTTGAAGTGGGTGAAAGTCATTATCATCAACTAACTCAAAATGATATTGAGATATTATGTAATGCTCGCTGCAACCATTTTCATTATGGTGAATGTGATATCCCTACCAATGCAAGTAGTTCTGGTCCTACCTTGAAGGATAGAAACTTGTGAGGTGGTTGGTGCTTGATGCCTCAGTTGGGTGAAATTCACCTTTCAGGCTTGAACTCCCCACTAATACAAATACCGCTTTTAATGTCGATTATTTTATATATACGGCGTAGATTTTTTATTTATTTATTTTTTTGACGTCGTTATTTATGAAGTAATAATTAAATGATATGACGTCGATTATAACAAAATCCGACGTATATTTTTTAATTTTTTTTAAATATGTACATACGATTTAGGTTTTTAACAAAACCCGATGTTGTATGAATATATTATATATAATACGCAGATACCACGTCGCACTGCTGGAAATTATGGAATTTTCGACCACATGAAAATGATCTTAAATCAAGTCGAAATCCTTGTTTCGACCACTTTTGGTATTCGGAAAAATCTTTGTTGCTATTTCCAACCACTTTTTGCTTTCGATTTGAAATCATTGGACTAACATTCTAATAAAAGTAAATGAAATATTTTGTCACCTATGAAATCTGATCAAAAAAATTAAGATTAGTGATTGCTAGTCAACTAGCTGAGGAAATGTGTGGTTAGATCAAATATATGTTCAAGGCATATCCATGAAACCCTTATCATCATGCATTTAAATCATATATCTAGTAACCCACGAACGGAGTACATTTCTTAAGTATAATAACCCACGAACAGAGTACATTTTTTAAGTAGTTTGTGGAATTGTGGCTAGCTTATTCCTATACACACAAAAAAGATATTCATAACGGAATACTTTATTAGTACACACAACTTTCATTACATATAAAAAAGTAAAGACGTACAAGTTAAAAGACGCATACACTTTTATCTAACCTGAGCAGTAGAACTCATTATCAATAATTCTGCACAGCAAGGATTTAACAATGACAAGTATATAAGATTCACATAAGGAATACTTATGAATCATATGAACATAATAATCATATATATATATATATATATATATATATATATATATACACTAGAGTACTTTAAACACAAGATCAGATCAGACTTGCACTAATTAATATGAGGCTGGATAGTAGAGCTGAGAGTTGAGAATGAAATTAAGTTGATAATCTTACTTACGTTTGTTGAATTTGACCTTCAAACCATGTTTCTTCTCTAGAATGATTGAATCAGTAGATAGAATTTCTAGATGATGAGATTCCACCAGTTGAAATTGATAGTGACATATTATGGTAGCTGCAATCATTTTGACCATAGTGAAAGCCATATCCTTGCCTATGCAAGTTCTGGGTCCAGCATTAAAGACCGAAAACTTGTAAGAAGGTTGGCGTTTGATTCCACCATCTGGTGAAATCCACCTCTCGGGCTTGAACTCCATGCAATCTTCACCCCACAGTGTATCCATCCTCCCCATGGAATAAAATGGCATTATTATTTTGGTGTTTGGAGTAACAACATGACCGCTGGGGAGAATATCCTTCTCCATCGGGGTCTTGTGGTTCAAAGGAAGCGGAGGAAATAACCTTAGAGATTCACAAAAGGCAGCGTGGAGATAGGTTAACTTCTGGCATTCTTCTACCTTAAAAACCTTGTTGTCTTGTTTGAGTTGAAGGATGTGGTGGAGGATCTTTGCTTCAACGTGAGGGTTTTGTGCAAGGAGCAGAAAGAACCAAGTGAGTGCCGAAGCCGTGGTGTCTCCTCCGGCGATGATCAATGTCACAAAGGTGTCTCTCAGAAACTGCATCGACTTTCCTCGGTGGGTTTCGATGAGTGACGTCAGCATGCCGGAATCGTGTGGTTGCTGCTGGGTTTTTGTGAGCTGATCCGTCCTCTCCTCAAGTATGGGATATATGAAGTTATCGAAATTCCGATCAGCTTGAGTAAGCTTCTTCTCTCTGTCAATCCCATAATATTTCTGCAGCTTCCAACACCATTCCGGGAGTATATGTCTGTAGAGAATAGCGTTCACGGCATCCCTAATCGCCTTCAGGAATGGATGGTCGCCGGTTGGGTCAACGCAAAGAGTGCCGGGATCCTTGTCCATAAACTGCTGACAGCTTATGTCGAACAAAATTCTATGGAAAATTTCTTGCAGATCGATGTGGGTCCCTTGTTGAGCGTAATGGTCAAGAACCGGAAACAACCCATTCTCGATCTTCTGTGACACGTTCCTCTCCAAGGAAGTGCGGAAGTTGGCCTGGTTCATGAGCGGCGTCGTGGTCTTCCGGTGAAGCTCCCATAGCTCAGAGTCCACGTTTATCATCCCATCTCCGAGGACGTGAAATATTTTCCGGAAACCAGGACCCTTCGGATAGTTCTCGAAGTTTCTGCAGAGGATGTGATTGACGTTCGCAGGGTCGCAGGTGACAAGCATGTCCATGTTAGCAAACCATAGACCTTTGATCTCAATTGTCCCACCACTTTCTCGGAGAAGCTCTGTTGCATAATGGTGGATGCGGCCGGCGTTTTGTAGGAGCGCCGGCAACATTCCGACGACAGGCCAATTCGTGGGAAGTACGCTTCGGCGGCTGCGTTTCTTCCATACCCAACACAAAGTACTACATAACATAGCCACAACAATTACATCATCATAACACTCTTTGAAGATTCTCATTATATTGTATATCTTCTGCCGCTAAGTGATATTTATATCGTGTACTCCCTCCCTCTTATTTTGTTTCTTTGGTTCAGTTAATACGGCTTATCTGAAGTTATTTTTAATAATTAATTTTTCATAATAATATGTTTACTATTTGTATATAAAATTTATAAATTCAGAAACTATATTAAAAATTACTATAAAGAGAATAAACAATGAACAAAGTTTGTTTGGGACAGAGGGAGCAATAGTTATTATAATTTCCAAGCTAAGTACAATATATAACCCAACTTTCATGAGATAACACACAAATTATTTCTAAAAATCTTACAACATACATATTATTTTTTTTAAAAAAAAAGTATATATCAAAATATATACACCGTATCTATTTCATAAAACTAACCATTCCAAATGATAGGTTACTATACATGATCATATCGAACTTGGTGATGGGACATTGATTCTTTAGGCTAAAAAAATTAAAAAATATATAACAAATACTACTTTTTAAAAAAATGATGAGTGTTTAAAAAAAATACTTGGTTAGTTTGAATTAACCAAAAAGAAAAATAAAATAAGATAAACTTTAAAAAGAAAAAAAAAAACCTTATAGTCACAGTGTACATAATTAATGACTTCGGTTAGGAGTGGGCGTCGGTTCGGTCATGTGACATCTGAATTTTATTTTGAATATCTAAAAATTTCAGATGATGTTTTTGACACCCGATATCTGAATCAAATTTAATTCGGATATATTCGATTTGGGTGAAATAATTTAACGCGGGTTAATTTGGATATACACAAAATTTTATTTTTAACAATTTTGAATTTTTAACAATTTTATTATTTTTGTATTTATATTTTTTCATAAACTATCAAACTAAAAATAAGACAAATACTAATTACTAATTAATTAAGAGACTTTTGAGAATTAATATATTATTAATTATGAAATATATTTAAAATTAAATATAGGGAAAATGACACTTTTTCTCCCTGAGTTATATACCTATAGCATTTTTTCCCCCTGAATTATTGAAGTGGCTGTTTTTCCCCCTGAAATGTTAAATGGACATATTTACCCTTAAAATAAATATTTCATTTATGTTTTTTCTCCAACAAATTATGACCATAATTTTGTTCAAACCAAACAAACACTATAGCAACCAAACTGAAATATTCCAATTACAATTTAGAATCGAAACCCAATATTTAGAGTTTATTAAAATCGTGAATCGGAACGGACGGTTCATGTTCCGAACTGAAAAAATAAAATACATTTATTGTTGAATTTAGACTATTTTAAAATAAAAAATAAAATTTTAAAATAAAGACGGTTCAAAATCGCGAACCGGTCGCCGGTTCACGGTTCAAGATTCAATTTTTTTGATACATAATTTTAATAAATTGACATCTAAATATTGGGTTCTAGATCTGAATCATAACCGGAAACTTTTAATTCGATTGCTTTAGTGTCCGGTTCAGTTCAAACCGAACCGTGGTCATCCCTACGTATACGCAATAATTTGTTGGAGAAGTAAAATAAATAAAATGTTTACTTTAAGGGTAGAAATGTCAATTTAATATATCAGGCGGAAAAAAGCACCACTTTTTAAATAATTGAGGGGGCTAATGTGCTTACCTAAATAATTGAGGGGGAAAAAGTGCTATAAGTATATAACTCAGGGGGAAAAAGTGTCATTTTCCCTTAAATATATAATTTATATTATTATATTTATAATAAAATTTCGGGAATAGATAAACTTTTAACCTCGATAACCAAACCAAATTTATATTCGAATATATCAAATTTTAAAATATTCAAACTAATAACTGTTCGGATTCACACAAAATTAAAAATTCAATTCAGATTTCGAGTGGTCGTTTGGATATTCTAAACTACGCATTCATCTATACCGGACCCGCAAACGCATGCAAAATTTCTAAGGTATATCAATGCATCCGATTAACGTGATTGCAATCTTTTGGTTTATGGAAAAGATTACAATCTTTGTCTAAATGTGAGCTTTGGATAAAATTTGTTATATGATCCTAATATGTAAAGGATCACAAGAAAGTAAATCATCATATATTGTGGAGAATTAAATTTAGAATCTTATAGTTATCAATCCTATTGTTCCTACTTGACTGCAGTTACCTACCTTCGCTATCGATATGTGGTAGGTGAACACTTTCATATTAAATACACTCCTCCACTAGATGTAGAAAACAAACCACCACTTTCATATTAAATTCACTCCTCCAATAATAATTTTTAAAAATAAATAATAGGAAAATAACACTTGCCCCACGAATGATATTGTTTCACTTTTAAAATTTTGGTCTTGTTAATTGATTTAAAGTTTTTAAAAATTTATTCTTTTAATTGTCCATATATGTTGCACTTTTAGTTCTTAGTGTTATATACTTATCAAACTCAATTAACAAATATGTTTTATGATGTCATTTTTATAGTTTAGAATCAATATCTACTAGTACATAAACAGTAATTTGCGTATGTTGTAAAACAGACAAAGAAAAGTGTACTTTCTGCGTTGGTGCAAAAAGACATAGAAAGTTGACAATAGGCGTTGGTTCCTTAAATGGAACAAACGCATAATTGTTATTTTTAAAAAAAGTTAACAACAATTGGAGTTTGTTTCTACTAAGGAACAGACACATCGTTACATTTTTAAAAAATAATCAATTTGATAAATATACAATTTTTTTCTAGAACATTCTAACCAATATAAACTCATCGACATTATATTATTGTCAATATTTCAATTCTATCAACATTGTACTCCAATTAAACTCTATCAACATTTCTTCAATTCTATGAATACTGTATTAAAAAAATATACACAATTATTCTAGAGATCAGAATATTATTGAAACTTTTCATTGTTTGTGTGCTTGATGTGAGGTGTATGGATTCAAGTTGGGCTGATATTTGATTTGATCAGATCCCGCAACTACATAAAGTGATTAATGAATTAATTTAATATTGGGTAGTTTTGGATTTTTTTTTTTTTAAATGCTAGCACCTTTGGGCCCAAACAAAGCTACCTTGTCCATTTCTTAAAGATGATGGAGAGAAAAAAGAGATTTTTTAAAGAAAAGAAAAACAGTTTTTCACCTAAAATTTATGGGAGTTCTCGCGTGTCTGACTGGTAGACGGATTAGAGGTCAGACAATTGGACGGCTCATGATTTTGTATTCTTCCAAAGCACACTTCAAGGTAAAATCGTTAATATTTGTTATTTTTAACGTAGAATCTAAAAAGAGCAATTGATGCTTCTACTGCACATATAAGACAGAGAGAGTAATTCGTAAGTCATGAGTGACATCTAACAGATAAAAAAAACAAATGAAGGTATGTTTTGCGATTGTAAAAATGAACAAAAAGGGAATAGAAAGTGACACCAAAATTTCAAATTTCTTATACAAAAGAGATGAAAATTTAATATTTTAAAATTCATAAATCCCTAAGAAGCAAAATTCACATCCAAGAATGCAAAACGAAAACACATTAAAGCATTACCCCAAAAAAGAAGATTTAGATTTCAAATTATCCGAAAATTTCTTCCCTCTGACCACATATGATCTTGATACTCCTGACAAAGAATAGGGCCTTGTCTTCAGGTAATTTCATCTCAAAATCTCAGAAATGATCAACGCGAAGTGACTGGGACGATGAACAATAAGTGGTCACGACATTCTTCAAGTTAGCCAAAACAATGGTTTTATGATAAATTGAGTGTTTCAATCGCTTAAATCTCTCGTTGTGTTTTATATAACAACTAAATAAGTAAAAAACAATTACAAAAAAAAAAAAAAAAAAAAAGAAGAAGAAGAAGACGACGTATCAGGAATCACCCAAAACGAAATAGAAACAATCAGGATTATGACGCCATAAATCGCTACTAGATCGACTAGGTTTTTTTTTTTGGAGTATAAGGCGGAATTAGATAGAACTATTAACGGAGAATATAATTTTTAACGGAGTTAATTCACAAGATGGTCCCCCGACTATAGCATTTTCTTAAATTGGTTCATTAACTTTTAATTACAACTAAAGTGGTCCTCTAACTTTTGAATTTTTAGTCAAAATGGTCTCTGTTAGCTTTGACGTGGAGTTGGTGTTAAAACGAAAGGTAAAATGAGAAATTTAAATTTTGCACTCCAATTTAATGCGACTCCCCTTTTATATTTATCGGCTTATCAAAAAGTTAATTTTACTAAACACTTCCAATCATAACAGCTAGCTTAACAGCTCTTCAGTTTTCAACTCCGAGCTTATAGTTTTTCAGCTTTTAGCTCCTAACTTATAACATTTCAGCTATGTTTGCCAAACAGAACTTTAATTTACCTCTTGAGTTCTTAGAACTTAAGATTAGTCTTGTTTAAACTGGAAAACTTAATGTATAAAAAAAATTCAAACTAAAATACATTTTTTTTTTTTTTGGATTATCAATTGTCACAAAATAGACCGCTCTTGCCAAACCATATTAACTAATTTAGATACGGTTGTCCAATCTATAATTTCAATGTAATGACTACTAGTTCGTTGCTGTTGCCGACACCTTGCATTTATTATCCGGCTGTCAAATTTATTAACAATGTCAGTCATGCATGTGCTTCAATTCTCTCCCAACGTTAACCTTATTACAATGATGTCTATATTTAAGATCATATGAGAATATTCGTGTGACACGTTATCCTATTCGTCAGATCATATGAGAATATTCGTGTGACACGTTATTCTATTCGTCCCACACACTGATTGTGTTACGCCAACTACCATGACACAAACTCGTGAACCTTCTGAACCAGACAAGGAAAGATCCACTATACAAGGAAACAACATTAATTTGAGGAGGACAAATCGAGAGAAGAAAAAGGCTGGATGGATGACAAATGATTATGTCTATAATTAAAGGATTGAGAAGATTGGATGGTATCACTGAAAGGAAGGAATCATGCTAGAAAGGAAAGATTAATTTGTTTACATTCAATAAGTTTTCTATATATTGTACGCACCTTTGTTTTATTGCAGTAAGAAGAATTTAAGCATTGTTTTT